CACGCGCAGTAAAAGAATTGACATTTGAATAGCTATTTGAGGGGGATGATGTGAGGCAGGCGTGCTTTTGTTTTGCATGGGTATACAGCGGTGATGCAGTAGCTTGTCACCGTCGTCTGGTTGCCAAGCAACCGGCTGAGCAGCAGAAAACGCACTTGAAAGAGCTCAGTGAAAGGTGCCCCACACAGGCTGAAAAGTCACTTTTGTGAAAGAGAAATACGTCACATACATGCAACTAATTAAGGTTAGTTCACTAACAAAGTATGGATAGCTCGCAAACAAACTAATCACCTAATTGTGACCAACTAAAAGGAGTGAGGCAACAAATACCGGCAGTAACAAATAAGTTTAGCTCGGCAGCTATCAAAGTAGACGTGTGGTTTAAACTAAGTAAGGCTATGTAGCGAACAAACTAGCAAACTGAACCAGACATCAAGTTTTAATGAACCAACTTATTAACTCTATTGAAATATAAAACAAGCAATTTGATTTGAACTAATGTTACTTAGTTGAATGACATCTGTTTTCAATACTAGGTAACTAACAAACTAGCCATCTCGTTATCTAAGAAATGCTATTTGCTAACAAACGAGGAATTTGGTGTGAACTAAGTACGGCTAGGTAGCTAATAAAGTAGCCATCTAGTTTTAACTAACTAAAGCTGGTGAGCTAATGAACTATATACTTCAGCTAAGCAACTAACAATTTAGTTGTTACTAAGAAAAGCTTGTGAGCTATCAAACTAGCCATCTAGTTTTAGCTAATTGAATGTTAGGGGAACAAATTAGCAATTTGTTTTCAACAAAGTAACGCGAGCTAGCTAACGAGCCATTTATTTGTAACTAATAAGTACCGTTAGCTAATAAATACTGGTAGGCAATGTTTTAAACATCCATCCATCTGAACCGCCTAGCCTCACTTAGGCTTGTATAGTATTTTTAAAGAAGTATTTGGTAGATTTGCAGCTTCCATATGAAAAATGAACAATGCTTCACATCTCTCTACTTCTGAATAAAAGATGATAAATTGAGAATATATGATATTTATACGGTATATATTCTTCTTCTATGGAGGGCGAGAGGATCTCTCTATTCTGAAATCATGACAGGACACCAGCAAGCAGGAAATCAGGGCTGGCTGCTTTGCAATTTTAAAGCCCCACAGACCTCAATTATTCACGTGGCGTTCCCGCCGACAATATTTTTCCATCAGGGGGCCAATTTAGACAGAATAAGAAGATGACAACGAAAAAGGTGAAATTGTGGCTGCTAGAAAAGTGTGGATGATTCTGAAAGCAGTGGAAAATGAAGGCCATGTGCTCAATGAGTGGTTAGTGCTTCTCCCTCACAGCTCTGAGGCTCTGGGTTTGAATCTCACGCTGTCTTGTCACAAGTTTGTTCTATATGCTATCCGTCCATCTTCCTCCACTTACCCGGTGTTGGGTCGTGGGGGTAACAGTTTTACACCAGCAACCCCGAGGCTGAGGAGTGTGATCACTCTGTAATTGCAACACACCCTGTGGTGCACCTTCTTGAAAACAGCTAACATTTGCAAAAATAATTACAGGACTCTTGATAAGGTAAACACTTTGTGGGACAGATTAAAGAATACAATGCAATGAATGTCTCCCTCTTTGCTGGCAACTATATTACATGTTTTGAAATCGTATTTCGTTAAATTTCCCCCATAATCAAAATTTTAACCCATTCTCCGGAGTCTACTCAACTAAATTATTTATCTTACGCTTTTTTTATACTGAAACGTTGTTCTTTTTAATTAAGAATGGTATATACCACATAATGATTAAAATAAATATAATCCACTTAGATGTTACTTTACAGTAAAAATGAAAGACGGCAGCTAAGCACAGAGTTGCAAATCTGATGACGGGGAAATGGTAAAACGTGCGCATTAAAATGAAGTTAAGTGCACGTTACGTCACTAATTGGCCTCGTTCCGCAGCTCAAGTGAATGCGCAAACTCTTGTTCTTACCTTTTTCACGCAAAATCTCTGCAACCTGTTTCTTCTCGCAAGATCGCTCCACACGAACCAGTTGCATCACGTCATTGCCCGCCCGCACGACATCATCGACTTCTCCTCTGCTTCAGTGCCAAGAGACGGCGAGAACCTCTGGCAAACCTCGGGGAGTCTGGCGGGAGACGAGGCGGCGGCAGGCCGACTGAGAGTGGCTCCTCCTCGGCATGGCTTCGTCTTCGCGGCCCGCTCCCTGGCGGTGGTAGTGGTAGGACTGGTGGACGCGCTGTCACTTATTCCTGGTGGTCCCGGCGGGGCGGAGTTAGGAGGAACCTGCTGGAACAAAATGTGTGACGTTGAGCAGTTGGAGGGTTCCTTTAACGCTGGCAGACCAGATTGGTGGTTATCGTTTCAATCATTCAAACGGTTGATAAACAAAACATACACAAGCAAAAATATGACCAATGTTTTATCCGATCCAGCCAAATAGCACTATCAAAACAACGATGCCACTTTAATCCTCATGAGGCAGCAATTAGTCAGTTGGAATGAAGGTAAATAGGGGTCGGGTTGGATGGGGGGAAATAGCACGTAATGAGAAATCGACTGGTTATACAAAGTAAATCTATCTATACATAAACATATCCATTTACACACACGTTCATACATTTCGCGCTCACTTTTTATTTTGATAATACTGACATTTTCCATTAACCAAAAACTTTCTTCACCCGATTTCGCAAACCAAAGACCTTCAAGGATATACACACGGTACAGGCAAGTCGTTTGCGATTCGACACCAGGTGCAAATTGAAGCATTGTTCAAAAGGAAATTATACAGAGGTTGGATTGCATATCCAAGGGGGGCCCTTGCTTATTTATTCAGCCTCCAACTAGATGTAAACATTGCTTCTTTTTTTTTTTTTTTAATGAATGACTGCACTTGTGTCACTTAACAAGCCTCGTCTTTATCCACCATCCAAAATGATCCCAGCTCGTTTCGGTGGCAGCGTCTTGTTCTCATAACCCTTTTTTTCTTTGTATTTTATTATGATTATTCTTATTTTTTGCTGACAAATAGATCACTGGAAGCTTATTTTTGTTTTTATTTTGCAAGTGGCGAGGGAATTAAAAGTTAGATCACACACACACACACACACACACACACACACACACACACACACAAACACACACACACACACACACACACACACACACACAGGTTCAATGTGGAAAAGTTATTTTATTAAGTCAGAGCAATTAACTTATCACTTAAAGTATTCCTTTGCACGCTTCATTCCACACAAAGCTAATAAACAGTGCTAGAGGGGAAGAGAGACAGCTCTCGAATGAAGGCATTAATGTCCATGATGGCAGTGGCGCCCGCCATCTTGGGTGAGGGCGCCAGGAAGGTGAGCCTGGACACCTCGCCGTAAGCCGAGCTGCCGGAGCCCTCACCCTGGGCGGGGAGTCCCGCCGCCTCATCATCGTTGAGCTTGTCGCCCTCCTCAACGCCGAAACCCACCACCTGTCCAGATGAAAAGAGATTCTTGTGGAAAAAAAATGTATTTCCATCATTTTGTCAAGGGTGAGAAAGTGGCGTACATGTACACTGAGTTTGCGGCTGTAAGGTCCTCGATGGTGGTGGTACCAGGACAGCAGATCGCCGCGGTTTATCTGCTTCAAGGCCTTAACCTGAACAAAGAATGTTCAAATTAATGTCTTTGTTATATGATGAGGGGGAAAATTGTATGTCATAGAGGTGTGCAGATCTTCAATAAAAGTTGATTTAGGTATGATGAAATTAGTTTTTTGTTGTCATTTTACATACATATAAATGAAGTTGTCAATAGTGTAAATATGACATTTCCTCCAAAAATACAGCTCTCCAATAAAGAACATTTAATACGTATCTCCATATATTTCGAATTGGAACAACTGGATGTGCATCTCTTAAATTGATTTTCTGAATCAAACATTTTTTTTACACCCCAGTATGTTATAAAAAAAAATAAAAATCATCAAAAGAACTTCACGAGATAAAAGATTGCAATTTTCTGAGTCAATCTTGGAATATTAAGAATAAAAAAATAGAGTCATCATTTTATGAGGAATTAAGATCTAATAAATTGAGAAAAAAATACAATTAGGAGGAATAAAAATTGTTAAAAAAAAAAAAAAAAGACGCTCCATCTGCTGGATTTAGTGGAACGTTGGGGGCGAGGGCCGTGCGTGTGCGTGTCACCTCTCTGTTGAGTCGGTCAAACATGTATTGCTTTGTGACCACTTCCGTCCAGTTTCTGTCCACCTCCTCGCCCAGGTGTGTGTCCTCACACTCCTTCAGCTTCATCAGAGTGCTCACCTGCACACAGGCATACCAACACAGATACACACGCACGGAAAGAAACATTCGCAGGGAGCGAGAGACACATACATTACAGAGACACAGACACGAAAGGCAAAAGGATTATGAAACACTCTTTCATATTATGGTTGACAGTTGAGAAACTTTATGGGTAGGAACGATTCATTCTATTCTGACTCACACGTCCGCACGAACACACACCTGAGCGTCGAAGGCCTCATCAGTCAGCGTGCCGAGGGTCTCACCAAATGAAGCGAGGAACTCTTCAATTTTTAACTCGGCCACCTCTGTACTGAGAGTGCATTGTTCACAATTCACATTAACTGTTTGTTTTTTTTTGGGGGGGGGGGGTTATTTTTTTTCTTCACACATTGACGAGTTTCCTTTGGATTTGAAACCTACATTCAAGTTACATACAGTTGAACTAAGAGCCGAACAATGAATGCTATTGAAATCAACATCGCAATTCAGTAGCATGCAATTTTCTGATCGCAAAGGCTGCAGTTTGGATAAAACCACACAGCTTCATTTTGGTTATTTTTTTCTATCTATCTACTTACCTACCTGTCTACCTAGCTAGCTAGCTACCTACCTATCTATATAGCTAGCTACCTACCTATCTAGCTAGCTAGCTACGTACTTACTAAAGCTAGCTAGCTACCTACCGAATATAGCGAGCTATCTAGCTAGCTATACTGTACTATATATACACATTTTCTTTTTTCTTTGATTTGAATTTTTCTTACAATATACTAAAACCCAAGTTGCTGTGATGAACAGGTCGAAATGTGTTGCCAACTCACTTGAACTTGGAGGCCTGCGTTTGCACTGTGATGGAGAAACCCAGAACGCCCGAAGTGTTTCTGCAGGCTGGGTAGACATGGTACCTGCACGAATAAAAACAAACAACAACAAGAAAATAAGAACGCCGATAAGAGCCGCAGGCAAGTTGTTGCTCCATGAGCTTTACAGGAGTGACAAAATCAGGCACGTACCCCAGTGTCTCTTTGGTGCGAAGGAAGTCGAAACAAGGCTCCTCCATAAGCATCTGAAAGACAGCGGGTCACATTGACCCATGAAAAACAAACACAAACAGTAAGGCTACAGACATGCAGCAAAAGAAAAACAAAAATTAAACACTACAGACGATGTGCAAAGACACATGGGAAGGTTAGTAAAATCCAACAAGCACAATGATTCTAAAAAAAATCATACAAGTGTGACTCACCACGAAGAGTTCCATCAGTGTGTGCTCCCTCAAGTCTTTGGATCCAGACTATCAAACAGATTATTAATATTATTCTTCAGCAGTTAAAAAAAAAGACATTCTTTTCTACTACAAGCAAATGGCATCTTTAACTCAGGTCACTTCTACCAAATATAAGATCTCCCCTTCAATACATTTAGGGGGGGTGTGTGTATAAAATTTTTTTTTGGGGGGGGGGGGGGGTTAGGAATGGGCAAACATAGCACCTCAATAGTGATAACATTTTCACAAATCCTAAACAAAGTCAAAAGACCTCACCACAACTTATTTCATGGATTTCAACTGTACGCAGATTTTTGAGTTGTGCTTTTCGGTATTTTTGCGGACCTGGTAGTAGACTGTGACCTCAGAGTTGGCGTCTCTCTTGTTCAGAGACTTGACTTTGCAGATGTGGTGCTGCCTCGGCAGTTCCACCACTCGGAACATCACTGGCACCTCCACTGGCAGCTTGGAGAACTGCAGCTTGCTTTGGAAGAAGAGGAGGAGGACGGAAAAAAATACTTTTGTGTGTTGAGGACGTACAGTAGGAGAGAGGCGGAGGATGAATTCCTCATGTGAGGCTAATGCCGATGACAGTGACCACGGCGTAGTATTCAAGTGGTCATTTGGGAGTGCATTAGGAAGGCGCGTGTGTGGCTGCTCGCTCACTCACTCTGTCACGTACTGCAGGAAGCCTCGCGACTCCTGTGGCGCAAACACAAAAGCGGATAAGCACCAAGTTACCAACGCCTGACATCTAAACTGATACTCTCAAACCGCTAACATCCACAAACATCGCTTAGAGGATGCTAGATTTTTTTTTTCCCCCCCAGAAGTGATGTTTTGAATTTAACCAACCCCATGGTGAGTTTCTCCACAAGTGACTTGATCCAAAGACACAATTCAAGCTACACTGCCTGAAGGAGAGAGAAGACCTGACTGGTGATGAGGTATCAATATTTTTTGTGTGTACTGTTTGGCACATTCATAGCGGGCACAATCTTGCGGCCCTCACGTTTGCTGTGTTGCGCATGAAAAAAAAAAAAACATTCCATACTTGTGTAGCTGACGTGGACAACGTGGAGGCCGCGGGTGTGTGCCTGCTATGTGTGAGCACGTGAGTGCAGGAGAAACAGCTGACAGTCGACAGTCACCCCTTCTTGTCTGATTGGTTGGTTTTCCTTAGACGCGGTGGTTTCTTACAAATCAAATGAGAGCTGAAGTGCAACGATTAATCGACAACTAATCGATGATTATTTTAGATCATTAATTAATGTTGAGAATCCTAATAATTTTTGGGTGCATTTTCTGCACTGTCAATTTGAAATAATGTCTCATCATGTTTTGAGTAAAGCGATTGAAATAACATGTTTTAGAAATCTGGCTCATCACTTATTGGAAAAAATTACAAAATGGGATTTTTTTTGGGGGGGGGGGCGGGGGGCACACTGCAAAGTCCCCGTTAAACAGTAAACTTGTTTTAAGTACCGTATATGTGTAAAATGACATTTGTTCCATTTCGGTATCAGGCAATAACATGAGAAAATGAGGGAAAATTAAAGCGAGGTGAATATTTTCTGGATGGAGTATAAAGGCACCTCTTAGATGCCTCCCCCATCAGCAATTGAGTAGTTTTGAGTATTTCTTTCCGTTTTCTTTCTTTCTTTCTTTTTTTTTTTTTTTTTGCATGGACGGAAATGAAACCAAAGATAATGGCAGAGGTGTGGCACTCACGTCACGGCTGAAGTTGCCCTGCACCAGGCCCTCGGCGTACAGCTCGGCCTTGAGCCTTCGGCTGAAGTCCGTCAGCTGGTCACTGGTGAGGCCGGCCACGAGCGCCTGGTACTTGTCCACCATGGACCAGCGCCCGTGCTCCAAGATCAACAACCGCACGTCCCTGCAAAAAAAAAAAAAAAAAAACAAAAAAAAAAACGGAGCATCTTGTTGGGACACAAGAGGGCCGGCAGAGGGCAGCAAAGGACTGAACATGTAAAACAGACTTGTTCAGCTTGGCGGGCTTGATGAGGATGTTGAAGTAGGTTTTCTTCAGCTGCTCCGAGAACATGCTGAAGACGTCTGGAGGGGCCTTGAAGTTAGCCAGGTGGTCAATGATCAGGCGGAAGAGAAGCTATAGTATGGAAGATGAGGACAGCGAGGTGTGCACTGTTAATAGTGGAACAGACTCACCAGCCACACCATTTGGTAGACCTCTAATGATGGGCAACTTAAAAGATCGAGGGGATCACAATTTTTCGACGCCGCTACGGGGGGGACTCACATAGGGCCATGCACTTCCTAATTTACTGTAGATAAAAAAATATATAATATTTTGAAAGATCAACTTTATGTACATTTGAGAGCTTGGCAGCTTCCGCAGATTTCTGGCTGTACCTTCGGTTCGGAGTTTTGCATTGCGCCATTCTGTGGAGAATCTGTGCCACTATAAAGACGTTAATCATGATCATTCAAGTGTGTTTACCTGCAGTTACGTGAATTTGTGTCGTATTTAACTGTGGGCGTATATTGATGTTCCATTTTGTTTGTAACACTGACTGAAGGTGTGCGCGATATCGTAACCCCCCGCTCCGGGCTTAAGCTAAGTGTTAGCTGGCGGCTTTCTAAACATAGAAGAGGCTAAAGTGCTCTTCCTGGTAATTACGTCTCGAAGCAAAGTAGCTTCAATTTTCAACCTCTCAACTGCTTCCGATTTGCGATGATATTCCTGATGGAGATGACCCAGTGGAAGGGCAACTAAGTGTGCCATCTAGTGACGAATGGTGCTATTACAATTTGGAACCATAGTAAACTCCTGAAAATTAAGTTGATTTTTAATTTTTTATTTTATTTTATTTTTTGCAAAAATTGAACTTAAAAATAAAGAAAGAAATAAAAATGAACCGAGGGGCCACACGCAGAGCGTTTGTGGTCCGCGCCCCGCCAGAAACAGTGGTCAGTTTCGACAAGCCGCCAACTGAACCGGCATATCTCCCTCACTCACTCACTGACTCACAGGCAATTTGTCGTCAAATCCTTTGACCTTGATCACCAGGCCGTGCTCGCCCGCCACCAGTTTATACTCCAGCTGGGCCACCTCGGCTTCATAAGCGGGCTCGGCCAGATTGTGGCCCAGGATGTTGACCAGCAGGTCGAACAGCACCACGCTGCAAAGCACGCAATGGAGGGAAGAGAGAGGTCGGTGACTGTAAGTAAAAAAAAAATTAAAAAAAAGTCTTCTCGCGAAGGTGACTGCACTTACTTCTGAGCAGACTGCTGGATTACAGGTGAGATGAGGTGAAATCTGATGTAGGCTGCAGAAGACCACGAGAATAATTGTCATGAGAATACACTTTTTGCTCCAGAGTGGCAAATGGATTTTTTGTCAAATGACAGAGCGACGAGCTCACCTTTGAAAGTTTTGAATTTGTTATCCTTCTTGTACCACAGGCAGCCTGTGTCACTGCTGGCGATGCGCACTGGAAACTCGGCGTCGGCGCAGTCCGAAGGCTTGAGGGTGAAGTTGGAGGCTGAAAAGAAAATAGGTCCATTTAAGTACAAAAATCACAATCGCATTGTTGTGGATTTATGCTCTGGTTGACTTTCCCGGGCTTCATATGTGTTGCCTTTTTTCAATGTCGAGGCGACCTTGGGTGTCTTGAAAAGCGCCGTATCAATCTCTTCTATTAATGTTGTTCGAGGAAAAACAAACCCGACGTAGGGGAAAATTGAAAATTCTCTTTTCATGAGCGTCATATGGGGAGGGTGATTGTGAAGCGCTTTCGACAGCACTCATTGTTTAGATTTTTTTGTTTTTTTTTTGCTGGCGTCACACCACCACATGGGAGTGGATCAAGTTTGCCGACGAAAAAGGGGCATTTTAGATGCAATTCGCTGTTTCCAGATTGCTCCAAAATGAATTGATCTTGTTAAAAATGAGTGCCGGTTTTATTTTCCTGAGCAAAAAAAAATATATATATATATATCCAAAGTGAGCTTGTTAGAGGAAAATCGACCACCTTGATACCATAAATCCTTAAAGACCGCATTTCGTTTAGCGATTATATTTGTTTCTAAAGAACAACACCTCGGACTTTGTGCGCAACGGAATGGGAGGAAAACAAAAGTGACATTTTAGAAAGAGGCCACTAGTTGATTTTGTTCAACAGAGATATTCATTTGTTAGCGCCGCCGGTTGTTTTTAGTGTCGGTAAAACAAAGCAGAAGCCTGCCTTATGGCTGTGACTTTTTTCCTTTTGTTAAGAAGAAAAAACAGGCAGATGTAAACCGAGCTTGTTTCATGGAAAAAAAAAGTTTTGTTGGTTAAAAAAAAAAAAAAAAAAAGTTGAAAGACAGAAACATAATGATGCTGGAATTATATCAGAGATAACACAGAGGGGATGAATGCTAATATGCTCTCCGTGTGATTAGCGTGGCGGGCCTCGTCTGAATTGGAGCTTAGCAACAGAATGGATAACACCTTTATTAAAGCCCTGATTATTAACCGGGGAATGTTGTAATGACTGACGGAACACCATTCAACCAGTTACCAATTTCCTAAAATAAATAAATAAATACCCTCGTTGACACCTTTAGCATGTAGCATAGGTTGTCGACAATGGATGCCGTCGCGTTGTGAATCTCTCCCCAAAAAGCATTTCGTCCTTTCAGGCAGCCTCAGTTGAACGTGGAGCCATTAGAAGATGAGAACACTGCCGTCATAAAGGCAAGACGGAGGAGCTCGGTGCCGCTGCTCAGGCTACACTGCGGCGACAAAACGCTGGTAATAACTAGCCACGGCGGGCCTGGAGATTGGCCTGCTATTTGCCAGCGATGGATTCCTCGTTTTGCCCCAATTGCAAGCCGACGAGCAAACTGCCGCGGGATGTTGAAAAATGCTCCATTCACAAATGCAAAACTGAGATTGTCTACAATGGTGCCTTAAGGTCCGATTTTTTAATCATTCCGTGACCATGCTCGAAACGTCCACGGACGAGTGAATGAAAACGTCAATCATTTTCTAGCCTCTCAAGCTGCTAGCAAGGTTTGAATGTAGCGCGGATGGTCGTTCGTCGATGTGTGCCCTGCGATTGGCTGGCAACCAGTTTCGGGTGTCCCCCGCCTACTGCCCGAAGACAACTGGGATAGGCTCCAGCACACCCTGCAACCCTTGTGAGGAGAAGCGGATCGGAAAATGGATGGATGGATAATGCCAGAATGCTTTCTGTCTCTCCAGTGTCTGGTTGGCCTTTTTGTCACGCTGTGACAAGTTATGAAATGATAATTACAAATGAAATTAGAGGCATAAAATGGGGCCAAGGGAAGGATAACACATTCAAATTACCGTATGTCAAACAGTTTTTGGTTTTTTTTTTTTTTGCAATACTGCAAACATTGACATGTATTATTTTGCTCAACAAGTCCAAAACCCAAACCAAAGTAGTACCAACCAGTATTTTTTTTTTTTTAAATGCACATTCTGTGACTACTGATAAAAGTGAAAATATTGAGTGTGGTCCAGTCACCCACCGATGAACCTGTTCTCCGCAGGAAGGAAAAGCTGGCGACTCAGCTCCAAATTTCCTGTCCAACGCTCCATCCACTCCGGTTGGATGTCTGTGAGCAAGGAAGGCACAAGTGTCAGGCACATTTAACTTGTGCCTCGATGAAATAAGAACGTCCTCTGCGAGCATCACAGGAGGCTAGCCGGGTACATTTTTCAAAAGGAAGATGACGCGATGTGTGTGTGAGAGGCCTTTTGTTTGTAAACACAATATACTGTCATCGAAAGCGACAGAGATAAATGGCTTGAGTGCTTTACGCTGGGGTGAACGTTGCTGCGGGGAAAGAGGATAAGACAATGTATTAAGGTGCCAGCACACAACAAGGTTTTTGTAGTTAACATGAGCTAACAAAATAACGACAACTACATTTTTTGGTTGGCAAAATAATTGCTTAAAAAAAAAAAACCAACGGCATCTTACATTTATAAAACCATCTAATTATCGCAAAAAAAAAAAAAAAAAGTCCTTTGTTTTCGTCTTTGTTCGTTAATATCATACCTGAGTTGTCGGGGTTCATTTTAAATTTTACTGTATTTCGGTATTGCTGTACGGTACGGCCACACAGAAGGGAGGAACACTTACTTAAGAATTGTACTTTCATTTAAATTATTACAGAATACTTAGTGACCTTTTTTTTAATTGTGCACTTGACAAATACACTATAATTAAAAAAAAAAAAAAAAAA